GAATATCTTGCACCAAAAACATTAAGGTTTACTTTCATTCCCTGTTTGGTTCTAGTCCAGATAAACACTCATCTCCTAAACTACAAACGCTCACTATTTCAATTCTTCAGAGATGGGGGACATCGAAGTACCACTTGTTTAAATCATAATGCAGTTTAGTATTGAGTGGAGGATACATTTATTTTCCCATCATGACTGATGTGATCATCATGTTTTTAACAGTTTTATCTCAGATTATTAAGGGTGCAACATTCATTGTGTTGAAACTCATGTTCAGGAAGGACCTGACCAAACTTATCCATGTTGCAAATAAAACATGAACTCTGGAAACACCTCAAAGTTATGCTCAATATCCAGGCTAACTACTATTAACAAACCAAACCAATAAACAATTCATTTCTGTGTTTCGTCTGCAAACACTCTGGAGCAACCGGTTTGCTAATTCATAATGCAATACGTTTCATAATGCAGAACCTTTTGTGGGGACTTATTTTTGTTTTTAAAGGCTTATTAATAAGATAATTAACACATTGTAAAACATTATTAGACATTTATAAAACCATTGTAAGATAGTATTTTGCATGAAATCAGGCATATATTTTCAACATGTGCAGTACTTTTATTCATTCTTTCATAAATCAGAGTTTAAATATCAAACATTTGTCAATAAGTTATATGCCTGTAAGGACTGTCAACATACATATAATCCATATCTCAATTGACATAATAATATTTAGGTAAAAAAGAAAGCCAAATCAGCCATTTACTAACTTTATCTGAATGATTCAAAGTCCTGCTTGGGTCTGTTAAGATAGTTTTGGACTGGGCCTATGGTTTTGATCTGCTCAGAGACGGGATTATAATGAAATTATGACCCGGTTCTAACTGGGTTAAACTGGGCCAGTAACTCTAAAAAGAGTGTCCCTGGGATTCAATATCTGTCACAAAATAGAGTTTAATCTGCTTGCCACATCACATAGAAAGGCTTTTGAAGCACCGTCTCATATTTCCTTACACGTCAGTCCATGTAAGATCCATTGAGATCACACTTAGTCACGCCCCCTCATACACTGACAGGTTGAGCTCCCCTTCTGCGAAGGAGGAGTCCAGGACCCTATAAATGAGTAATGACACGGGACATCGGGGCTCTTCCGGGTCTGTGAATGCGTCACAGACCGGAAAGTCCAGCGCTGTAAATTATAACCTTTTCCTGCCTTGATTTTAATATAATTGGTAAAACTGAATTCACGCTTCCTTGATTTATTTGTTAGTATGAGTTGCCACTTCTGAGGGAGATAGAGCCAGAGGAAGTGGTGGGGGCTGGCTGAGGGTCCGGGGTCCGAGAGGAAGCCTAAGGCCCACGACTAGTAGTAGCTAGCTGCAGTGACTGATGACCCGCAGTCAGCTCCCAACGCAACAGCTCAAATATTGAGCCTGCATCAGTGTCTGAACAGAATTTTATAAATGTGTGTTAATACTTTCAAACTCATCAATAACCTCCTTTTAAAGCATTAATAAATCATTTTTAAAGGGCTTTTATTGTGAAGTGGTGCAGGTATTTTGAAGTATTCTGTGTGCTATGTATTCAATGAAATGCAGAGATTTTTTATTTTTTTTATATATATTTTTGCCGTAGCTGTCATTGTTTTTAAAGCAGGGCAGCCATATTGGATTTTGAGGTCAATGTTAGTCCCGGATCTTTGACATTCTCTGTCAAAATTCAAACTTCAGTGTACATTCATGTTAATGTTCCTGACTTGGAACTTGTGATTTCCTGACTTCATGTACAAATTGATTGCAGGTGACAAATCTTTAAATAATTACTTAATGCACACAAAACAATATTCTGTTTGTGCAGTTTTGACACTCTGATTATTTTTGTGCACAGGTGAAATAAGTCATTGTATGTTTCTTTTGTTTTGCACACAGGATCTGTGTATTGACAAAATCAGCAGACGACTTTTTACACAATTCTGCCACAGAGGAGCAAACCAAACCAGGAAGCTTGGGGCTTCTGAGGAAAATGTAATCTCCCAGACAACATGATGGGGACATTTAGTCTCCTAAATAGCAACACACTGACATGTTTGCTGTTCTTGTGTTAACGTGCAAAAGCTCACAACAAAATGAGCTACTTCATTTGATTGTATTGATAATGGTTGCTGTGATGCAGCTTGTGCTTTAGTTTTTATCATTATTATTATTCAAAGATTTAACAGCCACTACCAATATTCTTAGGCATTGCTCAGTGTGTGAAAGAGGAGGTTTGTGGAGGTGCAGAACAATTGATTTAGAGAATTATAAAAAGTCCAAATTCATCCAAACAAACTGCAAATTCAAGAACAAATGGGCCAAGAATTTGTGCACCAAGTGACTGTAAAACTGAACTCTTCCACACATGCAAAAAATACAAAAATAAAAAACTCACTGTTTTTGTCCAGCGTTTCAGTGAAAGCCACAGTAAACATTGATATTAATTCCATGGATGTGCATGAGGAGTGCTGGTCTCTCTCCTGCCTCCAGGCTGATGTGGCTTTATTTTTGCATTGAGGATGTTGGAGGAGAAATCTGGAGTTTCCACTAGACCCTCCGGTTCAGCCCATTCAGCTGAAGCACTGGCTAAAGAAATTCAATTCAATTCAGTTTATTTATATAGTGCCAAATTGCAACAAAGTTGTCTCAGGGCACTTTACAGGAACATTCACATTCATAAAGGCCAATTAGTAAAGTTCTGTATCTAAGGAATCCAGCAGACAAGTTGAATCTTGGCTTCGTTGCAGTCTCCCATCCTGAGCAAGCACAGTGGCAACAGTGGAAAGGAAAAACTCCCTTTTAAAAGGAACAAACCTCCAGCAGAACCAGGCTCAGGAACAAGCGACCATCTGCTTTGACCGGCTGGTTGAGAGGACAGGAAGGAGAGACAAACAAACACAGAATGGTAGGTCCAGGTATAGGTCCAGGTATAGGTCCAGATGTACCTGAAAGACAAAAAAAAAAAAAAAAAACGTTAAGGATAAAAGAAAATTACAAATACATAACAGGTTGAGCAGAGTAAGTAAAGACAGTAACAGAGTGAAAAAAGTGTGGTCAGTTTGTCCTCCAGCAGTCTAAGCCAATAGCAGCATAAGTAAGGGACAGCTCAGGAAACCCAAGCCGACCCTAATTATAGGATTTATGAAAAAGGAAAGTCTTAAGTCTAGTTTTAAAACTGGATAATGTGTCAGCGTCACGGACAGAGATTGGGAGTTGGTTCCACTAGAGAGGAGCCTGATAACTGAAAGATCTGTCTCCCATTTTGTTTTTGAATAAAGATAGAGAGGCCAGACTGAGATGATTTGGACACATCCAAAGGAGGGACAGTGGCTATATTGGTAGAAGAATGTTAAAAATGCAGCTGCCAGGAAAAAGACAAAGAGGAGATCTATGGATGCAGTTAGAGAGGACATGGAGGTAGATGGAGTGAGGACAGAGGATGCAGAGGACAGAATGAGATGGAGGAGGATGACTCGCTGTGCAAACTCTGAAGAGGGAACAGATGAAGAAGAGACACGTCGAGTGAGTACTTACTGAGAGTTTTAATAAATCATTCCAGTCATTTATAAGATATTTTACTAACAGTCAAACATAGTTGACTTAGTTGATAGTTGACAGTTATTTTTAAAAATAGATATCTCATTAGCTCTCAGAGTATATTTTGGAGTCTAAGCAACTATTAAACCATACTTTAGCTGATAATCTGTAAAACTGGCTGAATCATAGCAATTATGTGTTTGCTGAGGTTGCATACTGTATGTAATCAGTTGTACATGAATTGTTTCTGGGTGTTTTATTTAAACTTATCTTGGGGGAAAAAATGCCAACACAACAGATTCAAAACACATTTGTTGGTGCCTCCCTATGCAGGTGTTTTGGTCGTGTCCAATAGGGAGGACACCCCAGGGAAGACCCAGGACACGCTGCTAGACAGACTATAGTCTCTCTGTTGGCCTGGGAATGCCTTATCCTCTCTGAAGAGCTGGAAGAGGTGGCTGTGGAATAAGATGTCTGGACCTCCATGCTCAATCTGTTACCCCTGCGACTTGACGTCGGAACAAGCTGAAGATGATGTATAGATGTATGTATGTATGTATGAATGTATGTATGTATGTATGAATGTATGTATGTATGTATGTATGCATGTATGTATGTATGTATGCATGTATGTATGTATGTATGTATGTATGTATGAATGTATGTATGTATGTATGTATGTATGTATGTATGTATGTATGTATG